GCTCCTGCGCGCCGCGTGGACCTGGCCTGCAGCGCCATCTGCCGGCCGTGCGGGCGGAACGCGGAGACCCGGGCTCCGGACAGCGGCCCCGGCCCCTAGACATCCCGCGGGGCTCCACCGCGTCCTAAGTGCAGCACGCGACCCGCGGCCGCACTGGCCGCTGCCGTCTTCCTTGACACCCACGACCACTTTCTAATGAGCCGCCTGCGTGCCCGCTTCGTTGCAGATGATGGAGGCAAAAGTTAAGCAAGATGGACCACCCTACCCTCCGGGAACTAACCTGTTAGTGAGGCCCAGGGTGCAAAGACGTCCAATAGCCGATCAATAAGGACTGTAGGACAGACGCCTAGATGCTCGTGGAGGGCACCCGCTTCTCTGTATTTTCCAAAATGCTTGCCTCTCTCTCTCTCTTTCTCCCTTCCCTCCTTCCTTCTTTCCTTCCTTCCTTCTTTCCTTCCTTCCTTCCTTCCTTCCTTCCTTCCTTCCTTCCTAAATGTCCTTTATTTTGCCATATCCACTGATATCCACTGGAAGAGATGAAACAACTTCACAAACCTGTGAGGGAGATGGTGTCTTTGGTGTTTTTGTTTGTTTGTTCCTGTTTTTTGTTTGTTTGTTTGTTTGTTTGAGACAGGGTCTCACTATGTAGCCCAGGTTGGCCTTGAGCTTGCTTTGATCCTCCTACCTGAGCCTCTGGAGTCCTGGGATTACAGATCTGCACCACCACACCCAGAAGGAGATGCTATTTGTCCCCACATTGTATCAGTGAAGAAATGGAAGCTGCGTAAGGTAAAGTCCCTTGCCCTGGATCACACAGCTAGTAGACTTGTGTCCACATCCAAGTGCAAAGCCAATGCTGTTTATTTTGGGGGGACTGAGCCTAGGGTCTCGGCATTGAACTACATCCCTGACCCTTTATATTTTATTTGAGAGTGTCTAGCTAAATCCCTACGTTGCCCAGGCTGGGCTTGAACTTGGGGTTCTCCTGCCTCAGCCTTCCAGAATGCTGTATTCCGGGATGTACCACCACACCAGGTTGTCAGTGGTATTTAAATAGTCCTGCCCTCCACCCTGCAAAGTGGTGAATATGTTTTTCTATTATAGTGTTTTTTTTTTTTTTTCTTTTCTTTTTCATGGTACTGGGGATTGAATCCAGTGAGCACTGACTTACATTCCCAGCTCATTATTTATTATTATTATTATTAATTTTAAAACACTAAGTTGCCCAGGCTCCCCTCAAATTTTCAGTCTTCCTGCCTCAGCCTCCAAACAGCAGCTATTTCTAGCCATGCCGCTGTGTCTGTCTAGTGTTTTTCTTGAGAGCAGAGATCACGTCTGTTCCATTTTAAAAATTCCTCTGCACCATCACTGAACTCTTGAATGTACTTGGGCGTGGAGGTGTGAACACGTGAGCTCTGAACCCTCAAGAACCATCTGAACTTTCTGTCTACACAACTGGACGTTACGGGGTGTGCTGCCTACCAGGTCAGGACATAGAGGCAAAGTCTCCCACCCTGGGAACCCCTCCAGGGCCGCCTCCCTCTGTACCCAGGGCCTTTCTCTCTCCATCCTTCTTCCAGGGCAGTTCCAAAGGGCAGAGGCATGAGGCACTTTGAAGTCTTCAGAGCACAGACTGCTGTGGCCACTCCGTGTCAGAGCTGGACAGGGCCCTGCGGTTCATTCCTCACCTCTCCCCAACCCACGGCCACGGCGCTGGCTCCTGGCCAGACTGCTGCACTGCAGCCCTCTGATGGGGAGGCCGGCCCCTAATTGTGACACTCCATGACGATTGTGAAGTCAGCCTTTGCACCCCACCCCACCCCAGCTACAGGGGGCTCGCTGCTCTTCAGTTTCTCTCTGCTTCCCGCTAGCTGGGTGGTTCTGTATGGTGACCGCTGTGATCCCCAACAACCCAGATGGCATCTGAGGCACTCTGTAAAGTGGGGTGTGGGGAGGAGACCCCACTGAAGAAGGAAAACCTCAGTGTGATAAATGCGCTCGACCAACTGCCAAAGCCCCTTCCAAACCCCAAGTTTATGAACCGGACCATCACCACCAAAGGACGCCCGCTTTCCTCACCAGGCTCTCTGGCTAACTTGGAGGCAGATCCCACCAATCCTGTGTAAGCATCATCCCTCTCTATTGGCTGAGGCTGGAGCTGAGGTGGGGAGAGAGACTTGAAGAGGGGTTTCCTCCTCAACCCGTCTAACTTGGTCCCTGGGCCCTTGGGGGAAAAGCCCAGTGCAGATTGGACCTGTCTGTGTTCCACAAATCAGTTCTTGGGCATTTGGTCTGCGCAGTCGAGGCGGCCTTTCTAAATTAGTCTGTTCTCTCTCTCTTTTTTTTCTTTTTTTGTCTTTTTGAGACAGAGTCTCACTATGCAGTTCAGGCTGGCATTGAGCTCACTTTATAGCCCAGGCTGGTCTCGAACTCACAGTGATCCTCCTGCCTCAACCTCCCAAGTGCTAGGATTACAGGTGTGCGTCACCACACCCGGCTTAGTCAGTTCTCTTGACTGTGCTCCTTGTGCTGCTTGTCTGGCTAGGTCCTCACCTCCTACCCCACGGCTCCTCTCCCTCACTCCTCCCCATCTGATACCACCACCTGTCTGCGGATGTTTCCCCTGAAAAGCATGTCTGCCTTCCAACTGTGGTTCACTGTTCTTACAAGAAAAGCTTTCCTCTACTGTATACCACAAAACTTACACCAACAAGGTCTGGCCCACTGGTAAGACCTGGGAATGCAGAGCTAGGAAGTAGCCCCTGCCTTCAAGAAGCGTCTGTCTAGTCTGGTGGGCGATGGTTAGGGTAGCATGGGGTGCCCTCCGGCAGTAAGGGTGTCAGCATGGTCTGGTAAGTGCTGTACTGGGCTTCCGTGAGGACCCAGCGGGGGTGGCTTCAGAGGGGACTGGGACAGCTTGGGAGAAGAGAGGAATGGCTCCCTGGGGCAAGTGGCATTTGAGCAGAATCTCCAGTGAAGATTGGTGTGGGGTGATGTGGGCCAAGGCAATTGTTTGCGGGTCAGTTTGTACACAGCTCCGCTGCTAGGAAGGGCCTGTGCTTCATTTAATGCTTGGCCGTCTCTGTCTTGAAACCGCCGATTGACAGTTCTGAACAAGACCCTCTACAACTCGCACAGAGCCTCACAAGCTATGTAGCTGTCTTGATGGTCATGAGAGCCCTGTAGGGTCCATTCCCCAGGGAACTGTAAGTAAGGTCTAATTCAAGTGACCACTGTGTGTAGGAAACTTCATGATACAGTGGCAAAGTCTTGGGCACGGAACCCAAGTTCAAGTCCAAGTTCCCATACAGCCAAAGACGAGTTCATTAAGATCGAAGACTGAGTTCTACCCAGCAGGCAGGTTGTGAAGATCAGAAAGAGGATGTGTCCAGCAGGGGGCTCCATGCCTAGTGGCCTTCTGTGCCCACCTCAGCACCAGCATTTCCAATAAGTGAATCTGAAATATAGATCCATTAGGGCAACAGAAAACATACACGGTATCCATATCCAGATTTTCTCCCTAAAGATGTAGGACGGTGACAGGGGAGTCATTTATTCCAAATGTGCAAGGGCTAGCAGAGGGTTGTGGGCAGACCAGGCTTTCTCTGGAGAAGGCAGATGGGCTGCAACTCGGAGGGGGAGGACAGCCCATCACTGAGCAAGTGTGAAGTGAGAGGCTCACCTGGACTAAGGGATCCTCAGACGGAGGTGAGGGTGATCTGGCTGCGACATCTGTCACCCCATGGATCGCCAGGGTTGATTCAGCTGATCTGGCTGGCTAGGCTTGTGTTCCCTCCCTCCCTCACCACTCTACTTTGTCCCTCCCAAAGCTGCTGGATTGAAGAGGACGACCACCTCCGATAGAGGAGGACGTTTCCTCAGTCAAGGGTATATGAGTAGCTGGGTTCCCCGACTAGATCCAAACAAGCTCTCGAGGGATCCATAGACTTTGGGTTCTAACCCATTAATCAGGAAATCTTTCAAGCTGATGGATATGGTAAAAATTTATTAAAATAGAATCAGAAATCCAGAGCACAGACTGTAAGGAATGGTTTTCAAAATGTTTTAGTTATGTGTGTATGTACATGGATGCAAGCAGCCACCCAATATGTATTTCTTATGGTAGGTCAAGGTTTGAAAAAAACGATTGGAAAGCCAAACTTTTGCCAGGCATGGTAGCGCACGTCTGTAATCCCAGCACTCGGGAGACTGAGACAGGAGGATTATTTCAAGTTCGAGACCAGCCTGGGCTACAAAGAGAGCTCAAGACCAGCCTGAACTGCAGAGTGAGACCCTGTCTCAAAAAGACCAAAAAAAAAAAAAAAGAAAAAAAAAAAGCAAGCCAAGCTTTTTAGGTTGGTGTAGTTCACCAGTTAAAAAATTTTTTTAAATAGCAGGGAATCCTGTACAAAGTTTTTCTCTGTAATAGCAAAGAACTGGTAACAGTATAATTATCTGTGTAATGGAAAACTATAAACAAGTTAAAATGACTTAATCAGAGTTACATGTATCAGTGTAGAGAAATCAAAACATAACACAGTGAAAAACAAGTAAGTTGCAGATGGAAAGGTACTGAATAATCTTTTATTTATATAAAGTCTACAAACATGCAACATAATAGCTGTTGGCTAGGGATAACATACATATGTAATAAGACCAAAAAAACCACGCAGTCAATAATAGAAAATTTAAAATTTAGTCTCCTGGTTACCTCAGAGTGGGAGGATGTGGAGTGCAGTGGAGAGAAGCATCCAGACTTTAACTATACTATATGGGTTTTGGTGGGGTTTTTTTGTCCTTTTTTTGTACTGCAGTGCTGGGGAGGGAACCCAGGGCTTTGTGCATGGTAAGCAAGTGTTCTCCCGTGGAGTGGGCTCCATCCCCCAGTCCAGGTTTCACTTCTGGAGCTGGATGAGGGCTAAAAAGAAGTTTAGCATATTATTATTATTATTATTATTATTATTATTATTATTATTATTTATTTTGTGGCACTGGGGATTACACCTAGGATCTTTGCACTGAGCTACATCCCTAACCTACCTACCCACCTATCCACCTATCCATCCATCTATCTATCATCTATCTACCTATTTATCTATCTATCTATGACAGGCAGGGTCTTGCTAATTTGCCCAGGCTGGGCTCAAACTTGTGATTTTCTGATTCAGCCTCTCAGAGTGCTAGGATTACAGGCATGCACCACCATATCCAGCTTAGCATGTTATTATTATTATTATTATTATTATTTTTTTTTTTTTTTTTTGAGACAGGTTCTCACTTTGCAGTTCAGGCTAGCCTGGAACTCACTTTGTAGCCCAGGCTGGGCTTGAATTCATGATGCTCCTGCCTCTGCCTCCCCATGCTGGGATTACAGGTGTTCGTCACTACACCTGGCTCATTATATTATTCTTGATATCTCTGTATGTGTTTAAAGTATTTCATAAATAAAAACAAACAAACAGAATGAGTCAAGCCTGATGGTACTTGCCTGTAATCCCAACACTTGGGAGGCTGAGGGAAGAGAATTTCAAGTTCAAGGCTAGCCTGGGCTACTTGGCAAGTTCACGGTCAACCTGAGCTGCATTAGCAAGACTGTCTTAACAAAGCAAAAAAAAAAAAAATCAGAATAGAAGGATATGGTTTTTCAGGATTCACCCAATATAGTTGTACACAGTCCAGACTATTATTCATTTTACATACTACACATTAATAAAATTGTTAGGTGTTGTTAAATATTAAATATTAGTGAAGCTCAATTTGTTTTTCATTAAATATCCATAGAGATTTTTCCAAACTGCAGGAAATTGCCATAGCCATCCCTTGGGGAATTTGCACCCCACTTTGAAGGATTTGGAGCATTTTAGCTGTTTTCTAAGTGTAGTTCTCAGAACTGCATCAGAATCATCTAATGAGCTTACTAAACCTGCAGTTTCCCCTGTCACATCCCAGCTGGGGACCAGGAACCAAGAATCTGCATTCTTAGCAAGCACCGGGGTAGGTCTGATGCAGTGCTGCAGAATAGTAAGGGTCTTCCTACTGTTGAGACGCGGCTCATAGCCCGGGCCCAGGGGTCCTCGGGCTGGATGGGCACGGGTGGTCTCCTTTATCTGGCTCACCTGTCTCCCTTCTGCTCCAGGAAGCTGATGCCAGGGGAGGATTCCGAGTTCAGCTCCGATGACACCAGCATTTCCCCCATGTCGTCCACCTTGCTGAACCCTGTCAAACTGGCCGTGACCCAGCCCAACAGCAGCTTCTTCGCCGGATTGCTGGAGGGCAAACTGAACAAACTCGGCATTCCCTTGATGGCCAAGAACACAGCCAAGGAGGAGGACCTGGCCCTCTGCCCTTGCTCATCTTCATCCCAAGTGGTCCTCAGGGGCCTGGTGGACCTTGACAAATCCGAGCTGGACACAGACACCTCCTCCACACGCTCGGAATCCACCGTTGTCATGGATGTCCCAGAGGCCCCCTTCATCTGCGAGCACACTGTCAGCGACACCACAGCAGTGGTGCGTTTCCTGTGTCCCTGCACTTGGCAGCCGCTTACTGGGCTAGCGCTGAGCTGAGCTCCACGGGGAATGTGAAGCTGCTGCCCCCTGTATCCTGACCTGGCGTTCATGGTGCAGGAAGGGAGGGAGGGAGGCTGTCTGTAACGAACTGCACTGCAAGACGGGAGAGATTCAGATCAAGTGCCGCCAGGAATTCAAAGGGAAAGGAACATTACCTTCAGCTGAAGGAATAAGCTTGGTGGCTCTTGGGAACATTTGCAGGATTTGGGTAAGAGGTAGGATTTAAACATCTAGAGATGGAGGAGGAAGGCATTCTGTGACAGGGCTGACCCCACCTTGCAGGTGGGAAAGTGTGGGAGGAAGTAAGCAGCAGCAGCGTCCTCTGATGCCAGGTCCTAATTCAGGGCTTCTCTCTCACGTGTTCACGATCCTACAGTCACCTACCATCTGGTCAAAACTGAGACCCTTGGTCCCCATCCTTAGAGTGTTCTCAGGGATGAGATTTACAGTGCTAACAAATGCCCGCATGATGCTCATGATGAGGCCCCCAGGTAGAGCAGCACAGTTGTGGAGTATGGGAGGGAGGATGGAAGGCAGTAGAGAGGAGGAACGTCAGTCTGGGGCCATCTTGCGTGGGTCATCCAGTGTTCAGCTACTTGGTAGATTTCTCTGCCAGCAATAAGGGACAGCTTTGTACAGGGCTGTGTACCAGAAAATGGATGTTTTATTGTTTTGTTTTGTTTTGCTTGCCTTCCTGGGGATCAAACACAGAACCTTGCACATGCTAGACAAACTATCACTGATCTCCTCTCTCAGTCCAGTACATGCAATCTGAGTTTTACCTTTTTTTTTTGTACTGGGAATCAAACTCTCGATCTCGCATGTGCCAGGCAGGCGCTGTGCCGCTGAGCTATATCCCCGACCCCTGAGTTGTATTTTAATAAGATAAATTTGGAAGGTTCATGGTTGGATGGCTAAGAGCAGTGGTGGCGAACCTTTTAGAAACCAAGGGCCCAAACTGCAACCCCCAAACCCACTTATTTATTGCAAACAGTGCAGTTAAACCTGAATATCCAGTGCTCAGCTGCTGGGGTGACTTGGCTTGCGTGCAGACACAGAGCTCTGTGCGCCTGTGGTGACATACGTACCATAGGTTCGCCAGTGCTGGCTTATAGCAATGTTTCTCTGTGGTCCCTAGACAGGGGAGGCAGGCTCCCTCAGTATCACATAGCAACTTGGCAGAAATTTAAATTCTCATCTCCGTCCACCACACTTGGGTCTACTGAACCAGAAGCTGGGGTGGGGGCAGGGGCAGCAATTTGTTTTAGTAAGTCCCCCGAGGGCCACCAAAAGGTTGAGAACTTTTCTTTCCCTCTGAATTCCTGATGGTGCTGGATCTGAATCCTTTCTGACTTCGGTGCAGGAAAAACTGGAAGTGAGAGACTGGACAGGAGACAGCAGACCTGGGACTATGTAGTGTTATAAAACTTCTCTGAGACGGTTGGCCAGATTTGGCAAACACGGTGGTGTACAAAGGGGGTGGATGTGGGCGCTATGGCTTTGAACTTCGGTAGTCATTTAATTGCTGTCACTTGGACCTGTTACCCCTACTTGTAATGAGTGAAGTGGACAAGACAGTCTTTAGGATTCTAAACTGACGTGGACAGTCTGGAACACATATGGACTGAGGGTGCACCCCACCCTATGCGGGTGGGGACAGCCATGCTGTGGGGCAGGGGATGGGAGGGCACATTCTGACTCATGCTGGAAGGACAGGTCAAGTCTAAGGAAGCCTTGGGCTTTCTCCCTGCAGATTTCCTGGACCAATGGCTTGGGTAAGCAGCAGGTCAGTTTCTACCAAGTCCTGTTACAAGAGATGGCCAAGAGGAAAGAAAATGAGCTGCCCAAGACAAAAAACCGCCCCTGGATCTTCAACAAGATCTTGGGCACCACCGTCAAGCTGATGGAGCTGAAGCCTAACAAGAGCTACTGCCTCACCGTCCGCGCGGTCAACACAGCTGGGGTGGGGAAATGGTGCAAGCCCTACAAAGTAAGCCCTGGGAGAAGAGCCCGGGGGAGGGGGCGGAGTCCAGGCGAACAGGGCCATGGAGGTTGGATGCAGCTGCCTCCTCTTGTTAGCTTTCCTCCTGCCTGAGCCAACGAGCACTAACTTCAGACTGCTTTCTTCAGGAAGGTTTAAGGATTAAGCTACTCTGGGGCCCACCAGGAGCACAGATGACTATATGCCCCAGCATCACTATAACCCACGGGCTTTGGGTTCCTTAATTTATTACTAGTAATTGTGAGTGGGTCAGGAACTGAGGGAAACAGAGACAAGGCTATGCGGGGAGAATGAAGGGAAACTCCTGGGGTGGGTAAGGGTGCGGGGGTGAAGAGAGGCCACATAGAAACAGCCCTCTGGAGAGAGACTCAGGTGGGGAGGTGCAGGTTTGAACCGTACCCCTTTGGATGTTTCCTGTATCAATGACTGGGTTGGATAAAGCTATCTATAAGCCCATTTAGCAGACAAAAGATGGTGACTGAGACGGAGAGAGCCAGGTCCGGGTCTGGGAAGGAATTCAGAGAGGTTTGTCTTTCAAGCAGAAGGGTTTTCTTGTTTCACTTCAGTTTGCAACTATGGCCAGGGACGTAAGCAGCTTCCCTGAGAGCAGCCCCATCTACATCACCGTGAAGCGCAAGGAACCCCAGCGGAGAATGGTGCACATGGGGCCGGAGGACATGCGGAAGCTGGAGGACCTGGAATACCTCACTCCCTACTAGCAGAGGGCCCAGAACGCCCCTTGTTGGCCATCCGCTTTGGCCCAGGGCCCTCAGGAATGAGAACCTTGCCAGAGACCCACTGACTACCCTGCCACCTCAGGGCCTGGTGGTACTGGTACCAGGAAGCACCCCTGGGCCAGAGCCAAATTCACCTGGAAACACCGCAGCTCCCTACCCCCATTAAAGAACTGCAGGTCACCCAGCACCCGTTAAGTTCTGCTTCCTGCTTTTGGACAGCCTCAGCTGAGCCGGGCCAGCTGCCTCTCACCTCCTAGCTTGTGCCAGGATGAAGAGTCAAGATGGGTGGCTGAGAGGAAAGGCGGGTTGGCAGGACCGTGGGGACATTACCACCACCTTGCTGCTTGGCTCTGCCTTTGCTCCTGCCCCGCAGGGCAATGAAAAGTCTTCACAAGGACAGACAGCAAGGGCGGACACATGTGCTGGCAGTCTGTAGAGCAGCCCTAGATCTGCACTTGAGGGGTGTAGTACAAAGTACACAGCTTTGGGGGCAGCATCTGCTTGAATTCCGGCTCCTCCAAGTATCTGATGTGAGAGCATGGGCAAGTTACTTAAGCTTCCTGGGCGCGGGTAGCTCCCTAAAGTATGGGGGAGTGAGAAACTTCCAGGCCGGGGTGCAGGGTTGCTGTGAGCACAGCAGAACCAGCATGTGGCACCAAAGAGCTCAGCAACGGCTGGCCCCCTTTTCCTCACTGCAGAGAGGTGCAAGGTGGAGGCTGAGAACCACAGCTAGGTGAAGTGAAATTATAGCAGGACAGACGTGATTACGGGAGGTAAGAAGGGGACAGCAGAAGTGCTGAGGCCCTGGGCACTTCCTACAAGACGGTTTGGAGGCCTAATTGGTGCACTGGATACCATGCTCCCGTCAGCACCGAGCGCAGAAGGCAGAGGCAGAGTGCACACACCGCAAAGTCTGGTCAAGGGCCCCAGGAGGTCTGGGTGGGGATTCTACTCATCACTTGAAAATTCTCAAGGGGCAAAGAAGGGGGCTCCCTACTGCACCACGCCCACGCCCGCAAGACCTCTCACAGCACTGCCCACACCGCCGCCACCCTGGTCCCCCCGAGGCTTGCTCTCTCCAGCCTGAGAGCCCAGCCCAGCGCTCAGCGTCCAGCAGGGCCTCCGCAGGTGTGGGGCGAGAGGCTGAGGCATCCCCGGAGCAGGGCTGGCGGGCAGAACTCTGCTGATGAGAGCACGCCATGATGTCCAGCGCAGGAGCCATTAGCGACTGTAACTGCGGCTCCACCTCTAGCTACTCCGACCTCCTTAACAGAGCTGCAGACCACGGGCAGCGCAGCCCCACACCTACTGTCCAGCCCCTCCTTTCCCCTCCAGGAGGTCAGTATGGCTTTGGGGTCATCCAGAGCAAGGGAGGAGGCCAAATGGATTTAGCACAGTCCGCAGTTGAGCCCTGGGATTCTAGAACAAAGAATGGTAAGTCCAACACAAAATAAAAGTTATTTATTTGGCCACAGAACCTGAGGTCTGACCTGAGCACAGGAGGAGGCAGGGCCAGCAGTGGAGGCCCACACGGAGCCTGGCTCCCCGACCCCATGCCCCATTCGTGAGCCGCAGAGCGGTGCCCATGGCCGCGTTCACTGCTAGCTTCCCAGACTGATTTCCACCTCTGGGGCATGGCACAGGCAGGGGACCCATGGGGAGACCCCGTAGGTGTCTGTCAAGGACTGGAAGCCACCGCTGGAGGCGAGGGTGTGTGCACTGCCACCCTGGCCTCTGTTCTGTCAGGGCAGGCAGCTGGCAGAGGCTCGGTCCAGAACTGTAGGAATTTTCATCTCCTCCATCTGTGGGGGAGGGAGGGAATCAGGATGGGAATCCTGCGGTGTAATCGGAGGAGCCCACAGCGTACCTCTGCTCGGTGCCATCCCTGCCTCCACCCAGACCTCCACCCAGACAGTGGCTTCTGGGAGGCCCATCACCAAAAAGGTCTTTAGTTCTGAACGTGTGTGCCCTCCTACCTGTGACCCTCCTGTCAGGCTCGAGAAGTCCCAAGAGAAAGGTTAACTAACTTCTCCACAACCACACACTCAAAGCAGAACCAGGACCCAAACTCAGGTTTCAGGACTCCTAGACATGCCTGCTAGAGTGGCCTGAGTGTGTCTGGGTCTCCCAGCATTCCCCCACTGGTGCCCGAGAACCTGGCTCCACATACCGCTCAAGACAGAGGGAGCCCCGGGAAGGCCCCTCAGAATTCCATGCCTTGGGGGAAAGAATACAAAGAGGGACTGACTGACGTCAGGGCAGGACCGCGAGCACCCCAGCCACTGCCGCCCACACTCACATCCGGAGGCACTTGTCCTTCCCACCGCTCGCCACCCTCTGGCCATCTGGACTCCAGTCAACGGCGTAGACCTAAACCAAGAGGGGTAGGGCAGTGGAGTGGCAGGGGAGGAGCGCCAAGTACCGCTCCAGTCCCCTCCGCCCCCGGGGTCAGCCCCACCTCGTCCGCGTGGCCTGGCAGGTCTGTGGCCAGCTTCTGGGCCTTCACGTCCCACACCTTCAACGTGCTGTCACTGCTGCCGCTGACCAGCAGCCGGCTGTCGGCTGACCACGCAATCTGGTACACGGCGGCAACGTGGCCACGCAGCGAAGCCAGGTACCTGGGCCAGGGAAGACGGTGATGGGTATCAGATCTTCAGATAGGTCTGAAGGGTCGCCCGCCCCATCACAGTGGCTCCTAACCTCAGCTGCCTGTTGGAATTGCATGGGAACTTCTACAAAACCATGCTGCCTGGCCCCCACGCCAGCATTTTCATCACTGTGGGTCATTACCATTTTGCAAAGCTCCGAATGAGTTGCTTCAGGGGGCCTCTTGCCAGGCCCCCACACCTGCACCGAGCCACCATGTACCTCAGAACCCAATGCAGCCGCCTGTTGGCCCATCTGCCCGCATCCCCTGGAGCAGTCTGTGATAGGCGGCAGCCATAAGGCCCCTCGGAGACTCAGCTTCCATCTTGTTCTTGTACTGGCGAATAAAACCCAGGACCTTCATGCTGAGCTGCACCTTTAGCCCTTTTCAGTTTGAGACAGGATCCTGCTAAGTTGCCTAGGTGGTACTCAAACCTGTGATCCTCCTGCCTCCGCCCCCAAGCGCAGAGATGACACAAGTGTACCACTGTGCCCGGGAAGCTTTATACTGACTTCAAGGAGTTGCGATGTGAAAATACACTACGCCTGACCCATCAGTTTCCCTTCAGGCCCTACCAGAGTTCCCTTTGCTCTTTTCTCTTCTTGTGCCTGTCTCTGCCTCTCCTCACCAGGCCTTCTCAGACCTTAACTGGTAGCAGAACCACCTGAGTGTACCAGGGTCTCCTGTATTTCCCATGACCCCCCCAAACCTAACCTTACTAAAATGCAGATTCTGGCACACGGTCGAGACTGGGGGCCGAAACTCTCCACTTCCATGAAGCTCCAGAAAATGCCGATTCACCTGTCTGCAGACCCTACTTTGTGGAGGGCAACATGACTGACTACACCACTAACCCAGCTATCGCTTCATCTTCTCTTGGGCTGCTGCATGCCTGGCCCTTGGCCATTTCTCTCCTTCAATATGGAGTGAACTTGCATTTTTTTTTTTGGTAGTGGTAACTGAACTTGGGACCTTGCACTTGCCAGGCAGGTACTGTGCCACTAAGCTATATCCTGGCTCTGAACTACTATTTTTAGTGCCCATTTAGTACCAGTCCTAAATACACCATCTCATTAATCCTTATAACTGTGCTGAGAGGTAGGGAGTCCTTATACTACAGAAGAGGAAGCAGAGGCTCAGGAAATGCAAACGTCAGCCAAGGCTACACAGGCAGCAGGTGGCATCATACAGCTCCCTCCGCTGCTCACAGAGGAACAGCCCTAAGCCTCCACTCACTTGCCCGTCCTGCCGTCCCACAGCTTGATGGACTTGTCAAAGGAGGCGCTGGCCACAATGCGCGAGTCAGGAGAGAAGAGCACCTCATTGATGAGAGCCTGGTGTCCTGTCATGCGGGCAAGGGGCTTCTTGTCCTCTGCCGGGGACCACAGGAACAAGGTGAAGTCATCGGAGCCAGACACGAGCCTCTCTGGACCCTGGCCCTGGGGGAAGCAGAAAGCACACCATGCTGGACGTGGTCAGACAATGGTCATGCATACCAGGGACAGAGGCCTGGGCTGTGGAAATGGGGCCTGGCCTGGCCCCTCACTCACATGTAACCCCTAAAGAAAAACAGATTCTATGTGTACATGTGGAATGGTTTCTAAGGTACATGACCATAAGGCAGTACAGAATGGACTGTGTATTTGGGTTGTGTGTGTATAAGGAGACACATGCGCAGGTACATATGAAATCTCTGCAAGGACACAAGGTACTGGTAGCACCAGACGCTTCCAGAAGGAACGATGGCTGTGCAAGAGATGGGAAATGTTTCCCGATCTGCCTTTTTATTTATACTTTACACCATGTGAAATGTGCTCCTCAACAAACTAAATAAAATTTAAAAGGCAGTGCCCTGGAGTGCAATAAATACACAAATAAAACACAAAGTGAAGTGCTCCCTGGCACTGTAAGACTGGACTGCCAAGGAGCACGAGCAAGAACTTTTCCCCAGAACAGGCTCACAGTGAGCAGGGTGAGGACTGTGGAGGACTGTGGAGAGTGCTTCAGGGACAGCAGAGGAGGAGCACGGGCTGGGGTGCCGAAGGGGCACACACTCACCCGCACAAGGTTGTACCGGCTTAGGGCCCTCTCCTTCAGCTCCTGCACTGTGTCCAGATCCCAAAGGAGAGAGACGAGAAATAACGCTGATTAGAAAATCCAACACAAGCGGCTAAAACGTCCACGACGCTGGAGGACTGGCTCCTTCCCAGGTTGCCTTCTCCCCTCCTTCTCCCACTCACTCACAGGACCCCTGGAGGTCTTGGGCATTAACTGTGGCCTCAGCAGGCTCAAAGGCCCCTGTACGCAGGGCATAGTCAGTGCTGAGTGCCATGGTGTTCACCCAGTGGCCGTGGCCTTGAAGAGTCCGGCACAGCACACCCTAGGAGAAAGGGAGACAGGTCAGACGCCCACCCACACACACACAGAACACACCCTAAGGCAGAGGGAAACAAGTCAGACACACATACGTCCCACTCTCTACCCTTGGGAGGCCAGCCCCAGAAGACGGGTGGGTGGCATGGGAGAATCAAGACCCATGT